GCAGAGCAGCATGTCTTCGATCGAGTCATTGAGGATATCTTCAAGGAGGTGAATCCCGAGGAAACATTGCTTGTTGTAACAGCTGACCACTCGCACTCCTTTGCATTGGTTGGTCAACCCAGTCGTTTCCGAAGTCTGTTCCTTCCAGATCTTATAAAGGGCAATGAAGTAGGGTTGTTCATTTACTTCTAACATTCACATTTACTTGAATTCTCACGATCTGAATCTTTTTAAAAGACTCTTGACAAAAAAGGTATGCAGCCGGTTGGCTACATGACTGGTCCAGGATCAGAAGTTAATAAAACTAGAAAAAGTGTTTGGGACATGGAAGACGAGACTTTGTTTGGCAAGGACACTCAATTGCAGGCATTGATTCCAATTGGCTGGGCAACACATGGTGGGGATGACGTTGCAGTCTTTGTCAACGGTCCCTTCAGTTACCTCTTCCACAAGACAATTGACAACACCTTCGTGGCACAGGCGATGAAGTATGCCATGTGTGCACCACCCTTCGACAAGGAGCCCTTCTGCGCTGGTTTCAGCCTCAAATCATCAATCCTGGCCTTCATTGGTCTTCTTTTATGGTTCTGTTTTAACTAAACTCCTTCACTTCTCTGCACTGAGTCACTCATTTTTACCACGAATAAATATCAGAGCTGAACAATTTAATTAATTTTGCTATGTTATTATGGGCAGATGGGTGGGGGGGGGGTATTTAATTTGTGAAATGTCAGAAGGTTTGAAAGGGAGAGAGAGCAGAGTCTATTCTTTAAATTGAAACTGGATGAATTCATTTGCCAATCATGCAGAGCTATCGTTCGCTGATAGATCACTTTGTGATAGGAAATTGTTATGTTTTCTGCGGATGGTTTGTGTGAACGCCAGTTCCCGCCAATTGCATTTGAGATGACGCAAATGCCATGCTGTATGAGGCAGTGACAATCGCCCATTTCTGGTTGTATGCGTCGAAAACTTCTCTCCTTTTTTCCTTTCATGCAAATTTAAAGTTATAGAATAGAGCTACCGGGGTTTTCCGAACGTCTGTCCTTTTATTCTATGGAATATTTAACTTCTGTGTTATCGTCAATGGGTGGCTATTCGGATGGGCAGTTACTTGCTTCCAAAAAAAATAGTTTCATGAAATAGAATTTTCCCTTTAACCACCCTGGTAGAATTTTTTTAAAACTTTGATGCCTTTTCATTGCGACAATCTTTTACTATTACTTCAATAATTTAAGTTATCTTTTATTTTTTTATAATAAAATGCATATACAAATAATACAATATAAATAAAATTAATGTAAATGACATTTAAAATGTTACATATTCTTCCATTGTCAAATTTCCAAGAAGAGAATTTTTCATAAAATGTCTAGTTTGAATTGGGCTAAATTTTGCTCTAGCTTAGTGGTAGTATTCCCTGTTTATGTCAATATTAAGTACAATTGAGGAAAATGGAGTCTACGGGCACTTCTCATGCGAGTTATTGATTTGACAATAAAAGAGAAGAAGAAAACGCGATCGATCAATTTTTATTGCAAATTCTTCACTTGTTCCCCCACGATCCGATGCAACTCATTTTACTAATAGTAAGTGGTCACTATAGAGATAATTTAAACACCTAGGTAAGTGCAAGTTAGCATGCTGATAAAAAACGAAATTGCCGTATGTCATGTTTTAAATCACACAGCGCTTGAATGTAAAGAATCTGTGTTGGACAATTGGAAACGACTTCCAGATAGTCGTAAAGGCTAGCGTAAAGTTGTTTAAAGGAAGGAACTCACTCTGCCTGTGAAAAGTACGCTCCACATTGCTCTTTCTTGTGGAAATGCGTCCACTAGAGATTTCTTGTGGAAGAAACTCTTGAAGCGTTGGTATGAGTTATTTCATTTGGCCGAAAAATGAGGCCCTTCGAATGTGCCACTGCGCTACTGGTGGCATCATGCAGTAAATGAGTTCACTAGTGCAGTGACCTTTCAACCAATCGAAAATCAATAGGCATTTCAAGGTCAACATACCCAAAGTGTATTTAATGACTAAGCTCTGTGTCAGTGCTTGTCTGTGGAGGTGGGGTAGGGGGGGGGGGAAGAGGTGGGTAGAGGGGACGTACCACATAATTACCACTACCTCAAAAATCGCATTCCAAATTTACGTTCTCCATCCTGGATACTTTTAACTTTGGGAATGATTTCGCAAAAAAAAATCGATTTTGTCAAAGAGTTGTTGAGGTTTGAGCAAGACTTACTTCTACTTTAATAATAATTAATTGTTGATTTCGTTGTTAACTCCGTGGATGCGTTCTTTCTTCATGTTTTACCTACTCAACGTTTTAAAAATTTGTTTCATTCCGGAATATGCTTATGCACAACAATTTATTCAAGTTCTTTATTTCAATGACTTATTGTCAATTGATTTGGGCAATTATTTTTCAATAAAATTAGGCGCTATCAATTTTGAGGACAATGTGAAATTGATACTGAGGCTGATGTTTACACGAATGCTCTTTGAATTATCCTCTGTCATTTCTATAGGAAAATGAGCTAGTATGGAAGGGCTCTCAGAATTATCTTAGCCACCTCAGTGAAAAAGAGGGCACATATTCACAGCGAACATGATTGGGAATGAAATGCATACAGCATGATTTGAATGAATATTAATGGTTGATCAGCTGAGATGGCCTCTGTAGGCCCGACTCCATTCGCCTGAATACTCGAGCGCGCATGAGATTGCTTAGTGTGCTCTTCCGAGGGTTGGAAGGAGAGGGGTGGGATTTTGTACACCGCAATGTCGATGAATTTGCCTCCATTCAATCCCAATTTCTCAATCCACACGATTTAGCTATTTTTTAAGGATGTTTCCAAAGAAATCGAACTTAAATAGGGTACATTTATGCACAATTACATGTCATACATACATAAGGGCATTTTAACTTTGAGTACAGGGATGTAGACATCACTTCTGCCAATTTGGGCAATGGGGCGGATTTAATCGGTATAAGATTGAGACTAGTGATTTGAAAGCATTTTTCCAACATGCCATAAAGGTGTTCCTATGACTTCTATAAGATGATTGTGACGATCTCCTTTATTATGTGCAGTTTCGTGACATTCATTTGTCAACTAATGATCGATTGACTTTGGGGGTGGGGTGGGGGGGGGGGGTAATGCGAATGAGATCGTATGAGTCACGCTGCATGAGATTGGATTTTGCACTGTTGAATCGGGATTTTATCGCGTTAAGTTGGTTTAATAATTATTATTACTAATTACGTTGAAGGGTATTGGGTATTATTAAGGTCGTTGTAATATTGCGTGGCGTCGACGTCTTGAGGATTATCCTCGAAAGTTTGTGCAGACATCGGTTCGTATTTGTCAGTTTATTGAAGCAAAACAATTACCATGTGGAAAATTACAGTTTTTATTACCCCACCTTACTTCTTTGATCATCGCACTAATTACTCCTCAAGTTAGTACCGTCTTTGAGGAATCATGATTTCATTACTATTATTATAATTATTATTATGGCCATTTCGGATGTGCGATAGACTTACCTCCACGTGGTGCACCCTGGGCAACGTACACTCATACAGCAAAAAAGTCTATTAATCGACAGTTGACTTCTGACTTCAAACTACCATAACCCCAATGGATGCTATATTCTACCACTTCACAGTACTCATCTGACCTTTTTCTAGATTTGGTCTATCTCTCTTACATCTATGAAACACTCTTCTGCCCCCCCCGTCTATTTTTTTGTGACTTTGATGTTCCTCCTCCTCTATGTGAAGCCTGAGGTCAACTATCAAAACGCCTGCCATTTAATATTTATTTATTTCAAATGGCAGGCTTTATGATTTTTATCATTAGCCCTTAAACTTTGACTTTAGCTTTGCCCATTATGGGGGGGGGGTACATTTATAGCAGTTAATTAATAGCAATTCATTAGCTGTCTTCTTGCTTCCCAGTATCTTTGGCTTTCCGTCGTTGTCTTTAGGGCTGGACACCGAATCAGGTGGGTTTTCTCCATTTCCTCATGTAGGTTACATAGAGGGCATGTGGGTTGAGTGTATACTCCCAATCTGTGAAGGTGTTTTGCCAAGCAATCGTGTCCGGTACGTAGTCTAAACTCAGCAACGGCTTCGATTCTTGGCCAGTAGGGTATGTCGGAGATTGCCACTGTCCACTGTTTCTCCTTTGTTCGAGCTTTGAGTTCGTTGAACCTTGAGGTCTGGAATTCTCTCCTGATTAAGGCCTTCATTGTGTGGAAAGACATCGGCCGGTCCATGCAATGCAAAATCGTTGTCCCCTTCTTAGCAAGTGTGTCAACTACATCAATGTCTGCTAATGGGTTCATTGGGGGGGGGGGGGGGG